ACATCCGAGAACATGAAGGCTCTCAAATTAGACAATCAAGCAAATGCTAAATTCTTACTACCTCTATGCCAAAATGTAAGACGTTTTTTTAGTTCAATTTGAACTGCAAAAACATCTTATATTTTGATATAGAGGTGTACTTTTGAAGTCATAAATTTAATTTCATTCCAAGAAAAGGCTTCGTTATAAACATGTTTAACTCTGATCTACACAGAACAATCTTCAAATAATTTACCATCACTATCTATCATATAATAATTCATAAACCATTAATCCTATATTAGTATTTCATACACTAAGCCAAACACCAGTACAAGATCTGTACAAACTACATTTAATTCAAAAACCATCCAACAATAATTGCAAAAAAGAAAGTCATGTGCAGGTAGTGAGACAAACTGACACGTTGGACAACTCCCAATGATGTATACACCCTTTAAAACCATGTCCAACTCCCCCAGTAAAAAGTGTGCAATCATCATGATGGACTTCGAATGACCGTAGAGCCCCAGGGTGTGCACGAGTTGAGTCGAGGACTAAAGCTTCGATCTTCCATGGAAGTTCATCCTTCGAACCGCCACTACCCCAACTACTGTCAGGAGTAGGGAACCAAAACCATGGCCGACTTCCAGAGGATGCTTGCTAAATAAGACAAAAATGAGTCTTTAAATGAGGGAACAAGGACAAAATTGTAACAGCCTACTGGTTAGTACCAGAAACAATATCAAAACCAGTTCAACCCCATTTATTATAGTTATACAAAACCACTTCGCCAGTTTGCTATCAAATGCCCAAAATGTTTGCAGGGAGCTAGTCAGAGGTAGGCCTGATGCATGGGGTGGATAACAAAAAGGAAGGGATGTCACCTATTAGGGTGAAAGGGATTCACAGAAAAACGTCGCCAACCAAAACTATTTTAGCTCCGCCTACCCTTGAAAGTAAATTGGCAATTTCATATTCTTTTGCAACTGGATATTCTTATCTGATCACATATTTCGGCATACACATAGAAAGCCAAAATCATAGAATAAAGCTAGTATGATGCAACTGAGATGCTATAGTTAAATGTGATTAATTAGTTCAGCAAGAAGGCATACCTGATGAATTGGAGGATACATGGGAGCCAAAAACACATGGCAGTACAATTATCTAATGCATCTGGAAAGAATTGAGAAGCTTCAGGTCGAACGTGCAGCTGTTTTTACCTGGACAAATACTCCCTCCATCCCAAAATTCTTGTCTTAGATTTGTCTAAATACGGATGTATCTAGTTACGTTTTAGTGTTAAATACATCCGTATCTAGACAAATCTAAGACAAGAATTTTGGGACGGAGGGAGTACAAGATAAACTAAGCCTGCTGCATACAAGGAGACCATGAATAATATTGGCTTATGCTCTGCTTAGTTGTTCCTCATAGAGGATCCCCTTTATATAGAGGCCTAACAATCCAAAGGATGCAATAGTCGTAGATCTTTTCTTTGATTAGCTTAAGGCCCGAGCTAAAAGATATCTTACTTGTTTCTCAAAAAAATTGTCCTAATTTCAAGATGTCAACTGCTCCCTCCATTCCTAAATACAAGACCTTTTAGAGATTCCAATATGGACTACATACGGATGTGCGGCGGAGGAAAAATGGTGATAGATATGATAGAGGTCAGAGGGTGCGCAAGCACGCCTCCTAGGCGCCCTGGGCTGGAGGGTACCTAGGGGCTAGGGACTCCCTCTGTCCCTATCCTCTTGCTATAGTGCTCCTTTGGCCTCCTAACATCCTATGATTTTTTTCATATTTTTTTTGCAATATATTTCAATAAAGATGTGGTTGCATGGCGGAGTACATAATTGTGACATTACAACGATCTTATCACATAGGTGGTCATGTACTTCTGCACATGACATTCGATAAATAGTAGCAATACCAATTCAAAAGACATGATTTCTGTATAGAGACTTGAAACTGGTACTTAAAAATAAAAATAAGAGACAACAATAAATCTAGAACATATACGAGCCAGTACTATTAGTATTGTAAGCATAATTATCATGTGTGAGCTGGCAGTCCAACAATGAGGCACCTACGCATATGCAGTTACCTGTCCAGTAGCAGAAACTCCATTGTTGGTTCTTCCACACCCAGAATATCATTAATCTTTCCTACTTCTATCGAGTAGTTTGCTCTTTCAAGTGCTTTGAATATCCCAGACTGAGAGGACCAAGACAGAAGCCTTTAAGAAAATCTTTTAGATGCCTTTGGAAAAAGCAAAGAAAGAATTACCTCGACTGTTGGCTCTGTGTGGGCTTCTCAAGCAAAGCCATATACCCTGACAAGAACAACCATAGTTGAAGAAAAACATGAAGGGGCTAATTAGCAGAACCAGAAGGATTACAAACAAAAATAGCAAAGAACAGAGAACAGATGCAGGTGTTAGTGGAATTTCATGTAATAGTAAAAAATACAGTGTGCCTCCACCTTAAGTCATGTTGCCACATGATAGGCTCTGCTAGTTTCTTGCTGGAGCAGCCACCCACCGGCCGCTGGCAACCTCACCTTCCTGTGTTGATGCTACCTGCTAGGCTTGCTACCGTGCAAGGGCAAGCAGCAGGAGGTGCTACAAGAGAATCTGGAGGGCACACAGATGTGCTTTCTGTTGTACAAGGAAGCCTCGCCCAGGAGGTTTGCCTGATGCTGCAGCATAGCACAAGCAGCAAGGAGAAAGAGAAGGATCAGGACACGAAGGAATAGAAAGAGAGAAACGAAGAGGACTACCGGATTGGATCTGGACATATCAACTGATTTCGAATCTCTGTTCTACAACATAAGGATAACCTCTTTGACAGTCCCTAGTTCCTAAATATGCAGTTTGCTGATCTAAGTAGGTGCATTGAATTGCTTCCGATGACTGAATCATTGGACAAGATTAGTGTTCTGAAAACTGGTATTAATCTGTACATAATTTCGAGATGACACCAAAATCAGTTTTGCTAAGCTTGTTGATATCTTTCCAAAGGGACTGAGTTTGCTCAATTCAAATAAATGGTTGTTGAGAACTTGAGATATCACCAAAATAGTATTGATGTACCAGTATTATCAGTTTGACCAGATTTTGTGAGTATATACTGACGAGCCTAATGTTCATGATGATAGCAATTACTTGCAGCTTATCAAAAAAGAGATCAAAACAAGAATAGAACTTGGATGTCCCTCCCATCCAAAACACCTGCTGCAAAGGGACAACCCTTGTAATCGATCTTATCTCGTACTGCCCCGATTCGTGAACACCACCCCCGCTAGTTACCTTGACGGATGTGTAGGTCCATCCCGCCCCCAACCAATGTTGAGGAAGAACTATGGGATGAATTATGGGTTCCGCGAACAGCAAAGGGTCCAACCATAATCGGCAAAGAGACACGGCACTGGGTGATGACATCCACTCCCATGCATTGTTGGCATCTGGGCAACCACCACAAGCAGGACAACTTGTATCAGATATAATTGCAGCCATCAGCACACAAGAAAATACTATGAGCAAGGAAAGAAGATGCTTAGCTGGGACACATCAAGAAAACAAAAAAAGCACATTTATTAATCCATCTAGGTAATACAAAATGTATACGTTCAACATATCTATTAATCCATCCAGCTAGCACTGCATATAGACATTCAAAACCAACGACATAGCAAGGGCCAGAACACAAAAACAGTTCCATGAATATGTACCAGAGAAGGGAGATGACAAGGAGGAGCATGGCACGTACCTGATCACTGTCAATCATGGATGACATAGGAGCTGAAGTACCAGTGCCTTATCGCCAAGCGGGTCGAGGCCGGCGCTAGAGGAGTCAGGATGGGGAGGGCGGCGACGGCGGCAACCCTAGCCACGGCGAGAAGACAGAGGATCCCAACTGCCAAGAGGCCGGAGAAGAAAAGGTCCTCGTCCCGAGCGCTCGCTTGCCGATCCACGGCACCTCGCTCACAGCGAATCCCCTCCGCGCAGCCTCCCGGACGAGCAGCGAGACGGAGACCTGCGAGCGGAGGCCCTCGCCGTTGCCGCAGACGTGGTCGAGGTTGAATCCCCTCCGCGCGCCCGCCTTCTCTGTTGGCCAGCGCTGGACGAGAAGGGATGGCGCCGGCGGAACCCTAGCCGGTCGGGATGGGAAAGAGAGGAAGTTGCGTGGGAATAAAAAAAACTGCTCGTGGCTCTCTCTCTCTCTTTCGTCCCCATTCACCGATGTTTTCTTCCCTCCTCTCTCGCACAAGCTCTCTCGTCATTGGCTGGCATGCACAGTGCGTTTGGGATGACGTGGCACGCGCGAGGATGCGCCATTGTGGCGACTCTTATTGGGTTTTATGGTTACTTCGTCAGGGATTCAGATTGTGCTTTTTGCTTTCAGAAGGAGCGTGCTAGACGGTAAATTGGCAATGCTTTCACATGAAGTACTTTTCGTGATGCCAACAGAGAAATGCTACAGACTTTCAGGTTGATTTGTTCAATCAGCTGAGCCGGACGGCCACTCACAAGTCACAATGTTCCGGTGATGGCTTCAGAACCGACAACTCTCATTGGATTACAGAGACATTTCATCAAATTACATGCTGATATGATATCGTGCCGCGTCTTAACAATCTACGCTTCTTTTACGAAGTAGATCTTCGCACCACAACTCGATTGCAAGTAATAATCAATAAATTAAACTGTAAACGGAAGGAGATGGAGTTGAACTCTGTACAGAACCACAAATTAGCCCGACTCTATGTGGCTGCGGCTATTTACACAGTACTGCTATCAGCATTGTTTGCCTGTATGGCTGTACAAGTAATTTTCTTCTTCGGGAATGCTGTATAAGAACTGCATATGTTGATATGTACGTTCCTGTCGCTACGACGAATGAACCTATAATGAATAGAATAGCAGAGTATACGCCATTGGCGGGCTAAGCAGAGCAGAGCAGAGCAGGGTGGAGCAAAGGAGGGCGAAGCAGAGCCAGAGGAGGAGCGGCGTGCTACGGCGACCTGGAGCGGCAGCTTTCGTGGTCGATGGGCATGACGCTGCCGGGCGGGTAGCTGAAGCTGAGGGGGCAGTTGAGGCGCGTCCAGAAGGCGACCTTGAGGAAGATGCCCATCCTCCACCGGGTGCGCGCCTTGCCGGAGAGGGTGATGGGCACCACCCGGGACCTGAGCGCCTCCTCCATGGCCCGCATCCCGGCGAGGTCCAGCTTGGCCCCGCGCGAGCTCCCGCTGTACGGCAGCGTGATGGAGCTCTCCCGGGCGACGCTGAAGGTCTCGGCCCGCAGCTGCAGCAGGGTGGTGCCGTGGAACCTGACGTCGATGTTGAAGCTGGAGAAGGAGGCGTTGACCTTGGAGTTGGTGTTCCTGGCCAGCACGTCCGCCCTCACCTGGATGTCGCGGATGACGCCGTCGGCGGGGCTGTAGTCGAGCTGCTGGAGGTACGCGTTGGTCACCACCATGTAGGGCATGTGGGGCTTGTAGATGAGGTAGACGGCGAACACCGCGGCGCCCACCACGATGATGCCGATGGCCAGCAGCGTGCACAGGATCACCGCCATCCACACCAACGGGGAGCTCCGCTGCCTGTCCTCGTCCGGGTACCGCCGCCTGTGCCTCCCGTGGCGGTGGTGATGGCCCGCGCCCGCCTCAGCCGCCCTCTCGCTCTCGTGGTGGTGGCGGCGGTCGGCCTCCATCCTGCTGTCTCCGGCCCTCATCTCATGCCGCGCGCGGGCGCTTCGATCGAGCTGGGCTGGGTTGATATCGGCCGGAGGGATGGAGTGCGCATTAAGGAAGGAAACGGGAGCTGGATGGAGCGGTGCATGTCCATGGATAATTTGTTAAGCTTGGATGAGAGGGAGGGTTTTGGAATCTTCTTTGCTCTCTCTCACCGTCACGCCTCCTTTTTGAGTTCTGCATGCTCAACAGCTCAAGGCACTCCTATGCGTTGCTTTGCTTCTTTCCTTGCTTTACAACTGAATGAACTCTACTCTAGTCTGGTCTACTAGCTAGCTAGATAGTCATCTGGTGGCCCTCTCAACTAGTCATCACTATTTAAATTTCAAATCTCCGGCCATAATTAGGTTAGTTACAGCCATGGGCCACCAAGTTTGAAATGCATTCCAGACAACTCCATTCCACAAAAACCGCATTTGCATTTCAGATTACAACATTTCCTTCCACACAAAACCCACTAAGTGAGCCAGAAACATGAGCCGGCTCACTTGGAGATTTACACAGGTGCGGCCAACCGGTTTTGGGAACCTTCTATAAGGTTCCTTGAACCGGGTTTTTTCTCTATGTTGTTTCCTTTTCGGTTTTCTGGATTACTATTTTATTTTATTTTTGGTTTTCCCCTTTTCCTTTTTTTTCGTTTTTTCTGTTTGTTCTATTTTCTTTTTCTTTCCTTTCCTTTCCCTTTTTCATTTTTTTCAAGTTTATTTCCATCTCAAAACAGTTCTGAAATTCAAAAAATTATTGCATTTTTAAAAAGGTGTTCAAAATTTCAAAAACTATTCCTGTTTTCAAAGGGGTTGGTTCACTTTTGGTCATTCTACCTTTGCTTTGCTCTTCTTTTTAGGACACATTTGGAATTTTGTTTGTAGATTTAAGAAAAGATTAGAATTCAAAATTTGTTCACAAACTTAAAAATTGTTCTGGTTTTCAAATATTGTGCACAAATTAAAAAATTGTTCATGTCATTAATTATACCTGTTTGTAAATTCAAAAATATTTGGGGAATTTCAAAATATGTTGCATTTTCCAAAAGAAAATCAATATTTCAAAAAAACATTAAGTTTTAATTTTCGAATTATGTTTATAAATTTCAAAAATAGTTCACATTTTTCAATCGGTTTGGACGCACTTTTTCCGGCAAACCCGAGACAAACTCGGTTCTCTTTATCAGAGTCCGGACAGCAGTCTCCGACACCTCCGACCCACCCTAAACCCCTACCAGACCCCAGGCCATCATCCTCCCATTTTCTCTCCTTCCCTTTTTCCTCTCTTGCCTTTGTGGAAAGTGCGGCGTGATTTGATACATGAAAATATTCACCAAAGTCCATTTGTGCTACCCCTTGAGCATCCGTTAGTTTTCCCTTGAAGAGGAAAGGGTGATGCAGCAAAGTAGCGTAAGTATTTCCCTCAGTTTTGAGAACCAAGGTATCAATCCAGTAGGAGACAACACACAGGTCATTAATTTAAAAAAAAATTCATTTCATGAGAGTTGTAATATATGCTTTGATAGTGTGATTAAAGCATATGGTTTTATATAGACTTTTGGAGAAGCCTGTATTTAGAAGAATGTGAGTGGGAGCTCTGTAGCATTTCTGATATTATATGTGGATGACATATTGTTGATCGGAAATGATATTGAATTTCTGAATAGCAATAAAGGATACTTGAATTAGAATTTTTCAATGAAAGACATCGGTGAAGCTGCTTATATATTAGGCATCAAAATCTATAGAGATAGGTTAAGACGCTTAATTGGACTTTCACAAGCACATACCTTGATAAAGTTTTGAAGAAGTTCAAAATGGGCCAGTCAAAGAAAGGGTTCTTGCATGTGTTACAAGGTGTGAAGTTGAGTCAGACTCAATGCCCGACCACTGCAGAAGATAGAGAGAAAATGAAAGTCATTCTCTATGCCTCAGCCATAGGTTCTATCATGTATGTGTAAGTGCATCTAGTGCCACCCCTAGTTGGTTTTGGAGTATTGACGACAAACCTGGTTGAGGGACTAATGTGTTTGTGAGAATTGCAAGATAACACAAGTAGAAGTCCCTCATTGATTCAGTTTTCCTACCAGAGATGACCCCTAAAAATGTATGAAGACAATGAAGTCAAAGGTGATATGTGAAGACATTCACATTGAAGACTGTGACAAGAGAAGACATTGTGTGAAGACTATGGAGCGCGAAGACTTAGTTGTTTCGTCGTTCTTTTTCTTCTTTGTTGAGTCATAGGAACCACTGTACTGTTAAGTGGGGTCCAAGTGAACCAGTCAGAATGACTGAAGTGATGCTTAACCAAAATCCTATGTCTTCGAGCGAAGACAATGAGAGCATATCTTATCCAGAGCTGGATAAGTCGGCTTTGCTTGTAGCTCAAGTAAAGTTGTCGTGTGTGTTTGAAATCTGACCGTTGGAACACGTGTTAGTTCCTTAGTAACCCAGGGTCATTTCGGACAAATCAGGTCGGGTTGCCTAGTGGCTATAAATAGCCCACCCCCTACACCATAAATTGGTTGGCTGCTCAGAGTTAGTGTACGGCTTTTGTCGTTTGAGAGCAACCCACCTCGAAGCCTTTGAGAGAGAATTCCTTGTGAGGACAAAGCCCTAAACACCCAGAGCCAAAGAGTGTTAGGCATCACTGAAGTCTTCCTGTCTGTGTGATCTGAAGACTTATTACACTTGAGGACTGTGAATCCTCCAGCCGGTTAGGCGTCGCGTTCTAAGCATCCAATAGTCATTGTGGATCGCAGGTGAACGAAGTCTGTGAAGGTTTGGAAGTCTACCTTGAAGACTTACCAGAGTGATTGGGCGAGGACTGGGTGTCCTTAGCTCAAGGGGAATAAGGTGAAGACGCGGTCTTCTGAGTTAAATCTTAGCCTCCCTAACTAGACGTACAGTTGTCACAGCAACTGGAACTGGTCCAACAAATCATTGTCTTTAACGAGCCACCGATTCTATCCTTCCCATCTCTTTATTTGTAGATTGGTCCTTGTGAAGTCATTGCCTGTTTGCACTATCTATTTGTCTTCACTGTGTGACTGCTTGTTCTGATTGGCTTCATACTATCTTCCATCTTGATCTATACTGCCTAGCTGCTATTAGTCTTTGTGCTTTCATTTTATTGAATACTTGACTATGGCTTGCTTAGTGTAGTCTACCTTCCGCTGCATGGTTATAGGTTTATTTCTATCGTTTGTCTTCGAAACTTCCATGTTTTGAAGACTTTCATAAAAATCGCCTATTCACCCCCCCTCTAGTCGATCACTAGCATTTTCAATTGGTATCAGAGCAAGGTACTCCCTTATTCTGTGGGATTCGGTTTACCCACCTGGAGTTTTAGCTATGTCGACTGCAGGGATAATCAAAGTCTTCGTTGCGTGCCCAGTCTTCGATGGAACTGAATATCCCTACTGGAAGAATAAGATGTGCATGCATCTGGAAGCCATTGATGTCGACCTCTGGTATGTCGTCAAGAATGGCGTCCCCAAGGCTGGTGAAGGTGTCACTGCTGCTGATGTCAAGAAATTCATTCAATTGGATTCCACTGCCAAGAACATCATCTCTGGTCATCTGACCAAAGGACAGTATGGCCGTGTGAGTGCTCTGGAAACATCCAAGCTAGTCTGGGACTTGCTCTCCAAGGTCAACGAAGGCGTCTCAACCCAGAGAGATCAAAGAATCAATGTCCTTCGCAACCTCTTCAACCGCTTCAAGAGAAACGACAATGAGAATGTTCAGCTCACGTTTGATCGACTCACTAACATCACAAATGAGCTTCAAGCCCTCGGCGCTACTGAGATCACCAAGCATGAAGTCGTCAAGACACTCCTGAGATCACTTGACAGCTCGTTTGACACCCTAACCCTGATGATACAAGAACGCCCTAACTTCAAGACACTTGATCTGTCTGACATACTTGAAAGGCTCAACACACATGAGTTTCAGCTTTCTGAGAAAAGAGACATCTACGGTCCCAACTATGGGCGAACTCGTGCTTTGAAGGCAAAGGTTGTTTCCTCATCTGAAGAAGAATCTGATTGCAGTTCTGATGATCCTGAAGACATTGGAAAGGAGCTTGCTATGCTTGTGAAGAAGTTCCAGAAATTCACCAAGAAGAAAGGCTTCAGAAAGTCCTCACGATCTAGCTCAAGGAATGATGAAGCTTCTGCTCATGACTACAAGAAGAGAACATGCCACAAGTGCAAGAAACCTGGTCACTACATCTCTGAGTGTCAGCAGTGGGACAATGAGAACAAGAAGAAGAATAAGAGCAAGGAATATGATTCTGACGACAAGAAGAAGAAGAAATATTCAAAGTCTTCTTCCAAGTCTTCATCAAAGTCTTCATCACACAAGAAGAGCTCATCTGGCAAGGCTCGTGCGTTTGTTGGCAAGGAAATGGATTCAGAGGAGGAGTCTGCTTCTGAGGAGGCAGAGGTGGAGTCTGAGGAGGAGTCCAATTCTGGCGTTGCAAGTCTGGCTACAGCCTACGTTGCCAAGTCCATCTTCAACATTAAAGACAATGACTTCATCACCGACGCCGATGCTGATGACCAGGACAACTCCGCTCCCACCTACTGCTTCATGGCACGTGGTGCCAAGGTAAACTCACGCACTACTCACTATCAAACATCCAATGAAGATGACTCTGATTGTGGTTCCAAACCCAGCTACAAAACACTTGCTAAAATTGCAACTGAACAACAGAAAGCTATGGAACATATTCAAAAACTGTTAGACAAAAGCGATGACCTGTTAGACGCTGAAATGACTCGATCTCAGTCCTTAATTGAAGATATAAAAAATCTTCATGTTAAGTATGAGGAACTTGAAAGTCGTCATGAAATGCTCTCAACAACTCATGAAAAGCTTTCCTATGATTATCTTCAAAGGAAGCAAGATCTTGAGAAATTGAGAGCGGCTCATGAAGATCTTCAAAAGTAAAACGAGTCGCTTCGCGCCAAACAGATCAGTTCCGCTCA